AGAAAGTTGTTGTTTGAACTCAACATTCAGGGTTTTCTTCTTGTTTCTTTGTACAGGTGTGTGCAGGTGTTTCCTCGCTCTGTGCTGTAGCTCCGAGGTAAAATGATTTTCTAAACATTACTGTTCACAGAGCTCAGAGATTAAATGTTCATCTTGATAAAGTAATATGAATAAACTTCATTTATTTCATTTAAAAAGTAAAAGCTCTTCATCCAGCCTTCTGTGTTTAATTTACTCAAAGAAACAGCAGTCTGATTCATTTATTATTTAAGTGCAGTAACCAACAACTAACCACCAGAGGGCGCCCTCTCTATATAAAGTGATTTATAAACGATATAATGCATTTATTTTAAACCTTTAACTTTAATTAAAGTTTTTGTTTTTGTGACAGTTAATTTTGTAAGTCAATAAAGTGATTTGATATTTAAGATTACATCATTGTATGCTAAATTATTTATATTAAAGCTGAATTTTTACCTTTTAGTTAATTAAATTAGTTTTTAGTTTTTCTTAATGAAAATACCACAAAACCTTTTTATTGATTAAATTGAAATGATTAATTTGATTAAATCTTCTTATTTGATTAGGATTCAAATATTTTGATATAAGAGTACATCTTACAGCTCAATGAGAGTTCAGATTAAACACTTAAATTAAAATGAAACATTTACAAGTTAAAAAGGTTGTTTAAAAATTCTTCTTCCTTGCCTTGATTTTATTAACTTTCATATGCTCATAACTCTTCTTCACCTACCTTATGTGCTCCATTATATTAAGTTCATTGATAATATCACAGATCAATTACAACTCTGAATATATATTATATATGTAAATGTATAGAGCATTTTCTTTCCCCCCAAAGCTCGATCAGGTGAAAGTTAAACAAACTTGTAGAATTTATAATATAAATCTGTTAAGATGTTTCTCAAGACCTTATACTTAATGTTTCTATATTATATTCTACATTTAAACTTTGAATTTAAGTTTGCTTCAGTCTCATCCAAAAGCCTTAAAGTGAAGTTAAACACAGATAATTTACAGTGAATGATGAAACTCAGGTTTATTCCAATCATCACAATGTTGTATAATCAAACATTTTGAGTTTCATTAACTTGATGAACTAAAATGTGTTTTTCTTCTCCAACAGGAACTCTGTCGACGTCTTCCAGGAGGATCCCCCGTCGGTGGCCGTCTTCCTGCTCAGGTAGGAGACTCAAAGCTTTCTTAATGTTGTTTTATTATGTTCCAGGTTTTAGGTGGTATAGAAGTTTAGACTCAGGTATTTTCAGGTGTTTAATGTAAAACTACATTATTATTTTTTAATCTATTAGGTATCGTTAGTCGACAGCTACATAGCATTATGTTATGTTATGTTATGTTAAAGCTGATTTAAGGAGTTATGACCTCCTTTAGACATGGACATCCAGTGCTGGTATTACTTCCTGATCTAACGTAATCCTGAAGGTAGCATCAGTGTCCTGAATGTTACAGTTAACTATTTTCCCTGAAAATGATTTGAATCACTTCTCCTTTGACGGGTTAAGAGAGTTTAACTTTTAACAGGACACTGATGCTACCTCGATCAGGAAGTAATACCAGCGCTGTGTGTCCATGTCTAAAGGAGGTCATAACTCCTTAAATCTGCTCAACATACAAAACTCATAACTCCACCTAAAACCTGGAACATAATAAAACAACATTAAGAAAGCTTTGAGCTCCTACCCAATGGGGGCTGGAGGATAGTGGGGGGGAAGGGGACTGGCTGGATGTAACCCCCTCACCTGTCACACCGTATTGTATTGTGCTGACATAACGTGTACAAAACACAGAGGTCATCATGTCTGTTCAATATTTTATTGTAATAAAACTACTGCTGTGTCCATTTTGGCACATTTCTTTAGAGTGCTACTCACACGTTTAGCTGTGTTGCACATTCCATGAATGCACGATGCTTACAAGTTATACCTCGTTGTAGGTTTATTCTGCTGTTTATTCTTGTCTGGACAAAATATATAGAAATATAAATCATTTATTTAACATAGATTAAAAAATAAATCTTAAGACTTGAACAAAACAACACACAGATCCAGCATGAAACATCTGTCTGCATCTGTCTCTGTGGCTCAGGAGATAGATGGAGGACTTGGAGTCTGGAGGTCGTGGGTTCAAATCTGATCAGGACTGAATTTTAAAGGTGTCGGTCCTGAATGAAAGACTCAAGAGGAGAAACACAGTGAAGCACCTGCAAATATGGATCCACAGGACACACACCATTATCTTAAAGGTATTGGTCCAAAGGAAAGACTCAAGAGATCTGAGAAACATAGTCAAGCATCTGTCTCTGTGGCTCAAGAGATAGAAGGAGGACTTGGAGTCTGGAGGTTGTGGGTTCAAGTCTTATTGGGACTCAGTGACTTTTAAAGTCTAACATCTGAAATGATGAAGATAAATACGCCCGGAACACATCTCATAGTGTGAAGGTATTGGTAGCGTAGTGGATAAGATTGCGGTTTCCAAACTCTGTAGGTGGTGAGCCTAGGTTCAAATCCCACTGTGTCTGGTGATGGAGGATTGGAATCTTATCAGGCAAATTTTAAAGTGAAAATCTGAAATGACGATGATAAATACGCCCGGAACACTTCTCCAAGTGGGAAAGGACCAGTGGCCAAGTGGAGTTGTCCTGGCATCTGCAATACATACGTGCTGGTTCAAGTCCAGCTTCTATGGTATTGGTACCTGGAACTGCTAGTTCCCCCTGGTGTTTCATGAGTAACACAAGTACAGGGTTATGAAAAACAAAATCAAGAGTGAAGTTTTGTGAACATGTCAGACCCTTTTTTTAAAAGTGTTGGATGACTTAATGAACTAAATATAGTGTACTAACCTAAATTCATCAATGGTTCATTGTTCCCACCATGACATAAGATTTTATTTATTATATATACACAGATGGTCAATCATATATCAGGATAATATGGTTCAAAGTTAAAAGGAGCTCAAGTAAAATATGGAGCATCAGTGAAGTCACTAGAGACACTGTTTACATGATATGTGAACACCAAGAACACCTCTCCTCTCTCTGGATCATTCAGGGAACAGGAAGTTATAAAGGAAACAGGAAGTTCAGGGTTCTTTCTCTAATCTGCACACAGCAAGCAGCAACAGAAATGTAAGTTCCTGTACTGAAGTTAAGGTTTAGCATTAGCATGTAGCTTAGCATTAGCAACAACTTGTATTAGTTTATTGTTTGAATTTATACAGAACTTTGGTAATGACTAAACTTCTTGTGTCTTGTAGTTTTCACTCCTTCAATCTGGTGAAGAAATGAAAAGAGGAGATCATCTCTTTGCTCCCTTCAGGTGCAGCTCCTGCAATTCAAACACAAAGTTTACATTTAGTTTAGACCAACAAACACAAAGTTTACATTTAGTTTAGACCAACAAAGACAAAGTTGACATTTAGTTTAGACTAACAAAGACAAAGTTTACATTTAGTTTAGACCAACAAAGACAAAGTTGACATTTAGTTTAGACCAACAAAGACAAAGTTGACATTTAGTTTAGACCAACAAAGACAAAGTTGACATTTAGTTTAGACTAACAAAGACAAAGTTTACATTTAGTTTAGACCAACAAAGACAAAGTTGACATTTAGTTTAGACCAACAAAGACAAAGTTGACATTTAGTTTAGACTAACAAAGACAAAGTTTACATTTAGTTTAGACTAACAAAGTTTACATTTAGTTTAGACCAACAAAGTCTACATTTAGTTTAGACCAACAAAGTCTACATTTAGTTTAGACTAACAAAGACAAAGTTTACATTTAGTTTAGACTAACAAAGTCTACGTTTAGTTTAGACTAACAAAGACAAAGTTTACATTTAGTTTAGACTAACAAAGTCTACATTTAGTTTAGACTAACAAAGACAAAGTTTACATTTAGTTTAGACTAACAAAGTTTACATTTAGTTTAGACTAACAAACACAAAGTTTACATTTAGTTTAGACCAACAAAGACAAAGTTTACATTTAGTTTAGACCAACAACGTTTACATTTAGTTTAGACCAACAAAGTTTACATTTAGTTTAGACCAACAAACACAAAGTTTACATTTAGTTTAGACCAACAAACACAAAGTTTACATTTAGTTTAGACCAACAAACACAAAGTTTACATTTAGTTTAGACCAACAAACACAAAGTTTACATTTAGTTTAGACTAACAAAGACAAAGTTTACATTTAGTTTAGACTAACAAAGACAAAGAGGTTCCTCATGGAGGAGCACAGCATGACTCAGGTGAGTAGAAATGAAAAGGTCTGGTTCATCTATCTGTAGAGAGAAGGTTAAAAATGTTTGACTTGAAATAAAAACTGTTTTTTTAAGTTGTTCAAGCTGTTTCAATCGTCTTCTTTCGCATGTCATGACTCATGGTGTGTGTGTGTGTCGCTCTGACTCACCAAACTCATAATACTGAAGGCTGCAGAGAAGACAGATACAGCGGCAAAATGCTAATGCTAAGCTACATGCTAATGCTAAGCCACGTGGTATAATACATCAGATGCAATACGTCACAAATTACAACGAGGCTAATGCTAAGCTACATGCTAATGCTAAGCTACGTGGTATAATACATCAGATGCAATACGTCACAAATTATAACGAGGCTAATGTTAAGCTACATGCTAATGTTAAGCTACATGCTAATGCTAAGCCACGTGGTATAATACATCAGATGCAATACGTCACAAATTATAACAAGGCTAATGTTAAACTACATGCTAATGTTAAACTTTAACTTCAGTACAGGAACTCACATTTCTGCTGCTGCCTGCTGTGTGCAGATTAAAGAAAGAATCCTCAACTTCCTGTTTCCTTTATAACTTCCTGTTGATAAATCCAGAGCACTTCCTGTTAATAACCAGAGCACTTCCTGTTGATAAATCCAGAGCTACAGATTCACAGATATAAGAAGACCGAGGAGTTCAGATGAAAGAAACAAAGCTACATGGACAGACAGGTGATCATTCAAATGATTTCGTCTGCTTGCGTTGGATGTTTCTCGATCTTCTCCTGAGTCCATTTGAACTTTTGTGATCTGTTGCTTTGGTAACCTCAGCATCGTTAACAAAAACAGGCCAATCAGAGTCCACATTTTGAAGGTCTCGGTCTGGGACTAGAAGGAAAAAACATCAAATAACTTCAGTCCCCGGTTACGACCACAACCTTCCTGGTGTTACGGTCCAAGTGAGTAAAACGTCCCCTGCACACACACATATTTGTGACTCTGTGTGGTCTTAGTGTGCTCTTGACTACAACACTACCCTCAGCTGAGTTCAGACAAGGAGGACCAAAAGCTGTTGGGTTTTTAAATGACATGACACTTTAAATGGGGGGATGAAATACTCACACCGTGTCCTGGAGGCCCTTCAGATCCTCTGATCATTCAGCAGTCTGGACACAAAATGTGGATGAATTGAGGACACACAGACTTATGAATAATGGAGATGTGATGTGTTAGCTGGTACATACATGAGCTTCTGTAGTGTTGCATCTTTCTCCAGCTGTCTGTCATGAGTCTGCTCCAGTAACAGGCCCTAGTTCAAACAAAAAGGAGGAAAATAAAATGTATAATGTGGCCAGAGTTAATGTTGATGTCTGCTTGATAAAATCTGGCACTTCTAATTGAAGTAGTTTATGATTGTAAATGAATGAGCTCGTCCATCATCCTCTGCTGGTCTTGGATCTGGTCTCTGAGGCGGCTGAGCTGCTTGTGGTGCCTCCAGAGTTTGT